TTTTTTAAATAGTGTGAAACGTCAACATCGTATGCCATTATTTTCTCTTGGTGTTACATTTGCTATCCATTTTAGTTGTTGTTGAGATTCAAGTGATGGATTTTCTGCTATCCTTTACACTGTTATTCTGTTATGATAATTTATTTTTGTATGGCTTCATTTCCATTAATGCCAGAAAATATTTTTAAGCTGTAAGAACTTGAGGGTGGGTAGATAATAATTCTTTTTACTGATGTAAGTTCTACTAATTAGAAGAGGTGAATTAATTCCTTTCCCAAAGGTATTTTCGCTCCAATTTCCAATTCCTGGCCGTTATCCACTATACCATCCGCATATGCAAACTTACAACATTTGATATTCCGAAGCCGTCACTCATTTATGTAGTGACTAGGTCCAGCGTTGATTAAGTTAGGTGATCGTACGAGAACCGGTATTTCAGAGCAATTTGACGCTAAGACTTGTGATACTTTAGTGCCAGTATCCGCAGTCCAAATTCTGTAATGTATGAATGCAGGTGTTACTTAGATTGTATGACTATTTTCATGTAGTGCTGAATACAATCGTTTTTATAGTTAGCTCCAGTTAGTGATTTTTATTCATTGTTTTAAGAAACGAGGGACTGTTAAAAAGTTCTCGACCCGACGCATTTCCCAAATTATATATTTTCAGAATATCTGGAAATATAGGCTTTTGTGGGTTTTTATTGTTGTTGCTGTAGTTTTTTGAATCGCAGGATATTTGCGCTTATTTCTTTTAATTCGCTGCAGATCATTGACTGAACTATGCCAGCAGAAAGTAGGGCATTTTAAACTGCTAAACTCTATACCGTCATAAACTTTATCTTCCTGCAGAAGAAAACTCCAAAGGAATTCAAGTGTATATGATGGAAAACACTTGATAAATAACTCCTGTGATACATTCAAAGGTGAGAACTCTTGCAGTTTTTCATTCTGCTCATGATATAATTTTGGAAATTAACAAATAATTTTTGCCAATCGATGATCACAAGAATTGATGAAGCAGGTAACGTGTTGATATTATGATTCATGAGCAGTTCTGCATCCAGTAGCTGGGAGCAAAGGTGCCAGAAGTTGAGTTTGAAGTAATTCCAGTGAGTTGGAGGTAAGTATTAAAATGATTTATCGCTGATAATGAAACTTAGTTATACTACGATGAGCTGGTGACAAAACAATAGTCTATATAGTGATACACTATAGTCAATGAAATTCAAGAACTAAAAGGAAGGAGCAGAGAATGCAAGTGTCAGTAAATATCTTAAGAAGCACCAGATGGTTAATAAAGAAATTTAATATAACTTGCTGTGTCGATTAAGGAAGGTGTTGAAAAAATAACAACGAGGCAAGTTGCGTAAATGTATTCTCATTTTGAAGAACAATGCACCTGCTCAAAAGGTTAGCTTGAATATGGATGTTTCGAGAAATTTAGTTTTGAAGGCATCGACTACCTTCCCTATTCACCAGATCTTGCTCTATCTATTTCCTGTTTCAAAACATAAAAAGAGATTTAAAGGGAAAATTCGGAGGAAATAGCAGCAGCAGTAGCAGAACAATATCTCAAAAGCTGAACATCAGATATTTTGGAAGCTTTAAGGAAAATTGGAAAAAGATGTACACATTTGCTAAACAGCAGGGTGAATATAAGAAATAACCTATATGTTGCATAGCTCTAAGTTAAGTCGAGAAACTATTTTGCAGCCCCATATATGAAATCATATTTGGACTTGAGGCTTTTCAAGCAATGGAAGATAAGAATATTTAGTGACTTATCTAATTCCCAGTGTCTTCTAATTTCTTCTTCAACCTTCAGGCTAAAAGTATTTCCACTTTTTTATACTACCAAAATTCATTTTCATTATCTCTTTAGAAAATTCATTTTTATCTTATATTTATTTATTTACTTATGTTCTACTTATTAACTTAAGTCTTTTCCTGTAGTCGATAACACCTACGTTTGAACATAGTCAAGGTTGATAACGAGAGTAACAACTTTTCCACTATTAACATTGAAATGAAAGATATATAAATAAAACAAAATAATATTAAGGACTATACTTCATCTCATAAAAATTCATGATAATAATAATAATACGAAAAATACTACGTTTATATGTAAATCAAGGAATATAACATCTCAAACACAGTAATGCCAAGGGATCGGTTGAAAGACATGTAATAAGTTTCATTGTTTAATTTGATATTCCCACCAACAGTTAGTGATATTGGTTCAAACGGCTAGAGCGGTTATCGGAGGGTCCGAAAGGATCCGAATTTCTCCAATGTCATATACTTTAATTTCAAACAGCGTTGTTCACTTACGTTTGGAGAAGTACGGCCGGTGTATTTGCGATGGTTAGTAACTGACGTTAGTAACGTTTATATACATTCTGGTGAAAAGTAAAAAATAATTCATGATGCTTCATCTTATAGGTTTCAAGACAATCTCTCTCGGTGATTGAATACATTCGAATTCTCTGTGCCCAATGATATATAAGCGTCCTGCCTGAGAGTGGAAAAAGTTTTCTTAGATCCTACGAAAAGATCCACGTTCGGAGAAAACCTCTAAAGCCACACACCCACACGCCAATGTTAATTGATGAAGTTCACGATTGATTAAACAATAACTTTTCGTATTACAGATTTAATCCCGCATTATTATAAGTTTTTTTTTGTTTTTTTTTTTTTAAACGACGATAACGTTACATTTATACTTATTGAATCCCGACATGTTTTCTCTTTGTTGATATCGATTTCTTGTGTCGTTTCCAATCTAATATTGAATTCCTAATCAATAAGATAGACCACTTCTCGAACGCATCCGCCATATACAGGGGGGGGAACAAATATTCGTACACATGCAAATTTTGAATTTATTGTATTTCCGACTGATAAATAACCATACTTTTCATATAATTAACTCTACACAGATGCATAATAACTGTATGTGCATAGACAAAAATTGATTTAAAATGGGATTTATTTCTATTAATTCAAAATTTTTCTGTTTTCTATGCATATTTAGTTATTAGGTATCTATATACAATTAATTATATGAAAAGTATGTTTATTCATTAGTTGAAAATACAATAAATTAAAAATTTGTATGTGCACGAATATTAGTTTCCACACACACACACACACACACAGAGACACGCACACGCACACACACACATACACACACACACACACACACACACACACACACATACACACACACACACTGTATATGTTCTGTTTCGTCTTGAAGCCAAAACTGTGTTATCACTCTGTAACCTTTTTGCGTATTAACACCATTCTTAGTCCATTAACATTTTGCCTCATTACTGCTGTTTTGCCTAGTTTTCGTCTTGCATGTATATTGTTTGCTTAATATTATTTTTGATCCGTTCTTTTCTGTCTTGTTGTTCATTGGAAACTTTGTCAATTCTGTTTATTGGGCATTTCTTCCGATTATATTTAACCATAGTCAATTACTCAAAAACTTGTCTCCCTCCTTTACTCAAATTGTATTAATAAAGGGCTAGTTCCACAACGAATGCTGATAAATATTTGCGTTAATTTCATACATATCTGTTTTTATGTTTTTATACACTAATATTCTCCCATTACAAATACTCAGAGTCACTCAAGGTAGAAAGTTACTGTGTGGTGTTATATGAACATGAGAAAAGGCAAAAACTGAAGTCCATGAGGTTATGTAGTAATGGTAATAGTTAACCCTAGAATTGAAGAAATCAAGATTACATTGATTTAGAAAACAACCTGTCGGGTATCTATTCCACAAAGCAGCAGTCACTGGTATGAATGGAACTTCTTTTTAATGGAATACAAAGACAACGAAGACGATTCATTCTTTATATCGCATGGACCTAGTTGCAAAAGTCAGTGTTGGTGGAACAAAGATATGTAGCTCGTCAGAACACTTGCCATGGCAATATCGACAGAATAATGAGTAAAGTTTAACGCATTATATATATTCAGAAATGTAATTTAAATATATGTAAAATAAACAGTTAATTTCTCAACAATGAATGTGTTAAGGTGAAGGAACGTTTATTATATTTCTTTAATGAAAAATACTAACAGAAAGATTATAATTCAGAAACGTAGTACAAAGAACAAATAGACATTTTGAGGCTGTCTAGAAATTCATTTTTTTATTTATTTCTTTTTTTGGCCTATCAACCTTTTGCAACTTATTTAAAGCCAGAAAATATTTTAAGATAGCAAGAATTTTTTGGAGATAACAATGACTTACTGATACTGAGAGCTTACGACTGTATTGCATTGAAATAGCAGTTCCAGAACGATCACCGAAATTAAGCAATGTCGAGCCTATTCGGTACCGCTTGGGAATACCAGGTGCTGTAAGCTTGGAATTGCGGGCCCTCTAATTGATAAGGACTCTGAATTCCTATAATCTAAAATATTTTCTGGCTCTAAATAACCTCCAAAAATTGTTAAGCCGTAGAAAATGAATGAACCAATCAACTTGCCTGTTAATCATTGTTTGTAAGCGTATACACCCTTTAATGAATTAAAATCAAAATTATTGTCCAAGAGGTTTCTATACTCAAAGCACCAGGTATTGAGAAAATAATTCTGGGAATGAAAGGAATACCGGAATCCTCTTTCCAGATCTTTTTATTTTAGTCTATACTTCTTTCTTTTTTTCTTTCTATCTTTTCAGAAGTATTTCTTTATAATGTCAACATTATTATCTTAACGTTTTGTGTGATTGCGTCATGACATTTCCCTTCAAAATGTAGGCAAATACGTTCTTCTTTTCTTTATTCGTTCTGAATTCCGATGACTTCTTGATAAAGATAGTGGTGTGGTTTCTCGTTGCTTTCTACATAGTTTTGAATTCACCGTACTTTTCCTAGACTCATTACCACTCAAAGCAGAGAATTCATTCCTTTCGCAAGAGCATTCGTGCGAAATTTAAAGCAACAGATTAATTAGGGATTTTAATTGAGCTCGATGATTGTTTTTTTTTTTTTTTGCATGCTAATAAGTGTTACATTATCTCTACACCCTATATTTGTGCAATACCTATCTATAATAAGATTCACATCATCTATTTGTCTATGTCTGGTACACACCAATTTACAGACGTACTTACTGCCGTATAGGATGCACATGAATATGAAATATATATCTCAACTTCGACAGTGGATATTATAACAATCTTTTTCTCACGGCCTTTTTTTTCTCGCTAGCCTCACACTGCACTATCGCTATTTCCATGGAAAGTGTTCAGATGACTACATTCCTTCGTTCCATCAGTGTTTATCTTTACGGCTAAGACCCACCATGCCACACACCGTCATTCCCTTTGTTTTCCCTTGGTGAGAAGAAGGTTCTACTAAAGCATCTTCTTTCTACAAACCGTTGCTCTGTGGAACTGGCTCTCAAGGGATGCTTTTGTTGATCACTACAATCTTAACACGTTGAGGTCTACCGTTAACTGTTATTTTCGCCACATATCTGCATTTTTCTCTGCCTTTTACTCTGTAGCCCTCTACCTCCACTGGCTCCGGAGCTTTTTATAGACTGAACATCATTGTAAAAAAAAAATAGTTCTATGTCAAATTGAAATTTTTGGCGACAGCCTCCTATATAGGATGCAGGGACGTTTTTCTAATCATATCTTAAAATACAAAGTGCATTGTATATGCAAACAATCATGGTAAATTTATAAATAAAATCAAATGCAAAACAAGAAAATCGAATAACGTTAACTTCTGGAGGTAACAATAATAGCAAAACTAGTAATTGACTCTGTCTAGATTTTTAGACAGGCTTACAGCTATATCACGTTGAAACACCTATTCTCCTATGATCACCAATGTTAAGCAGCGTCGAGCCAGGTCAGTATCCAAATTTGTGGCCGATTGTGAATACCAGGTGCTGCAAGCTTGGGTGTATAGGTAGTGTAATGGATAACTGCTGGAAATTGGAAATTGGAAAGCGGAGTTCTAATTCGACTCATGTCCGTTATATTCACTTACGCACAAATAGCCATTGAGAAAGGTATGAATCCACCTATTCTCTCCTAAGGTGTAGGTTGGTTGTTTTGATAAGTGGCATATCATCTATGGGCTATTTAATTCCACAATCTAAATATTTTGTACGGAATTTCATCTTATTTTTCGAGATAATAACAGTTTTATAATTCAAATCTTACAAATTAACCCATAGCTGGAGGGTGAAGAGGTGGATTCATATCTTTTCCATCGGTATTTGTGCGTAAATGAATATGAGGAATTTAACGTGAATTTGAACTTGGCTCCCCGATTAATAATTCAGAGTCCTTATCAATTAGAGGACCCGCAATTCCAAGCTTACAGCACCTGCTATTCCCAAGCGGTCACCCATCTAAGTACCGAATAGGCTCGACATTGCTTAATTTCAGTGATCGTACGGGAACTAGTGTTTCAACGTGATATGGCTGATATTATGATTTCAATGTTCGTTGAATGCTCCACTGTTATGAATTTGTGCTCGACTGATCAGAACTTAGCAAATCCCGTTACAAATGAAAGCATTTTTAATATCAAAGTTTTAATTGTTTCGATATATTTGGCGAATTAAGGAAATTAATACAGTAAATATTGACTCGTTTTCTACGGTTTATCAACCCTCTGTAGGTTATTTAAATGCAGAAATATGTTTAGATAGTAAAATTTCTTTTTGGGTGGAGGAGGAAATAATGGTTTAGTGTTATAAGTTTTATTAATTAACCCATAGCTGGAGGAGAAGCGGTGGTTTAATGTCTTTCGCCTAAGTGAATATAAAGAATTCAACGGGAATTGAAACACGCTCTCCGATTAACAATTCTAAGCCATTATCCATTACGTCACCCGCAAACCCTAGTTTACAGCACCTGGCATTCCCAAGCTTTCACCCATTGACATGATCGTACAGGAATCGATGTTTCAACCTGATCTGGCAGTAAGCTATTACAGTAAAGAGGAGAATGATAAAATATAATTTTCTCGAAAATATAGAAAGATCTTCCATGAAAATGACATTATTTTTAATAAAATAGCACAATACTAAATAAATGAATGAAGGAAACAATAATTACTAAACTTTAAAGGGAAATCATGCGGACATTAAATTTATATTTATTTGTTAACAATACACATAGGAACAAAAATATCAAATCCAGACTGAACTCCTGATTGAATACATAGGAGCAAACTGAATAAACGTATTAAAGGAATTTAATTATGCACAAGAAAGTAAGCAATTCCAATAAAATATCTAAAATTAAAATAACAATGTATTATTTCTCTGAAAACATTGTTAAGTAAAAACCGCTATAAAACCAAGTAAATATGTTTATAGTCAATATGTGTCCTTTCTTCACTTATTAATTCAGTTCAAATTTATTTTCATTTTTATCTCTTATTTATTATTTTGATCGTTTACAGCTATTGTTTCGTTTTGTTACACGTTATCTGTTTTTTCTTCCTCTTTAAATTTCAATATATTTATCCATTTTTCAGTTTTTCTTTCTTTGATTTTTTTTTACATCATTTATTCCCTTCAGTATTCTTTCTTTATCTATCTCTATTCGTAATTATTTTCGTTCTTTCTAGCTTTCTTGTTTTCTTTTTCATGTTCACACCGTTTATTTTGTTTTTCCTTTCTTTTATGATTTATTTTTACTTGAATATTTTTCATGCATTCATCTTTTTTCTATCAATCTACTTATATTTCTTTTTCCTTTCTTTCTTCCTCTTTCTTTTTTTTTTTTTTTTTTTTTTTTTTTTCATACTCCCACCGTCCATTTTATTCTCGTTCTGTTTGCATCATTTATTCATTTTTACTTAAATATTTTTCCCGCGTTAATCCTTTACTTTCTATCAATCTTATCCTACTATCTTTCTTTCTTTTTTTCTCTTCTTTGTTGCTATTTACATATTGAAACCATCGATTTTCTTCTTTCTTTGTATCATTTATTCATTTTTACATAAATATTTTTCAAGCATTCACACTTATCATTCTATCAATCTATTTATCTTACTATCTTTCTTTCATATTGTCTCTTCTTTATTGCTTTCATTTGTCATATTCACATCGCCATAGTGTTCTTCCTTTCTTTGTAGCAATTATTCTTCATTACTTGAATATTTGTCAAGAATTCATCTTTTACTTTCTATTAATCTATTTATGTTTCTCTGTTTTTCTTTCTTCTTTTTCTTTCTTTCATTCATTTTCATATTCAGATCGTCCATTTTCTTCTTCCTTTCTTTGCATCATTTATTAATTTAACTTCAATATTTATTACACATTTATCATTTGCTTTCTTATTTTCTTTCTTCTTTCTTTGTTCATATTATGACCGTCCATGTTGTTCTTACTTACTTTTTGTCATTTATTGAATTTTATTTCAGTATTTATTCACGTATTCATCCTTTACTTTCTATCAATCTAGTTATCATTCTTCTTTATTCGTTCTTTCTTAGTTATTTTTTTAATCGAACCGTACATTTTGTTCTTCACTTTATTGCAGCATTTATTCAATTTTTCTTCCATATTTTTCCTCGCCTTCATCTTTTACTTTCTATCATTCTATTTGCATTCCATTTTTTTTTCTCCTTGTTTCTTTCTTACTTGCTTTTCTTACATTTTTCATATTCGCACAGTATTTTCTTCTTCCTTCTTTTTATCATCCGTTCATTTCTACTTGAATATTTTTCACGGATTCATCCATTACTTTTTATCAATCGACGTATCATTCTTCTTTTTCTTTCTTATTTTTTCTTTCAGGCTTGCTTTCTGTTTTCGTATTCAAACCGTCCATGTTTTTCTTCCTTTCTTTGCATCATTTATTCATTTTTTTCACCATTTTTTTTCACGCATTCTTCTTTTAATATCTATCAATCTTTTTTATCATTATTCTTTTCTTTTTCTTTCTTGCTTTCTTTTTTCACAATCAAACCGTGCATTTTCTTCAGCCTTCCTTAACAGCATTTATTCATTTTTCCTTCACGATTTTTCGCGCATTTATCATTTTTTCTTTTATTTCTATCTTTCTTTCTTTCTTCGTATTCAGACCGTGTATCTTCTTCTTTGTCTCATTTGTTATCAATTTTTCTTCAATATTTCATTCGTGCATTACGTTTTATCAATTTCTTTCTTTATTTCCTTTTCTTTCTCTTTTCTTTTTCTATCTTTCTTCATATTTAAGCCGTCTATTTTCTTCTTTTCTCACATTCCCTACGTGAATTATTTATTTTATCATATATATATATATATATATATATATATATATATATATATATATATATATATATATATATATTATTGGAATAATGTTTTGATGCCACAAAACAAATATAACGATTTAAAGAAAATGAATTTCTTTTGTATGACCATTTTTTTTTTTTTTTTTGCAGGACCTAGGTACCTTTCGGCCAACGCTTCATCAGGATCTTTCGTTCTTTTGGCGTTCTTTTCATTTTCATTGTTTGTTTAAAATCATTTGCCAACGAAAGACCCTGATGAAGCGTTAATGAAAGGTACTAGGGTCCTGCAAAAAAAAAAAAAAAATGGTCATACAAAAGAAATTCATTTTTTTAAATCGATATATATATATATATATATATATATATATATATATTCAATATATTTTTTCTGTAATTTTCAATATATATTTTCCTTCTTTATTTGTTTCTGACTTTCTTTTGAGGTGCTTGGTATGAGTAATTCTTAGCAATGCTAGTCTCGATTACATTTCTACTGGGTTTGATCTTGATGCCCCATACAAAATTCGAAATAAATTATCCAACAACGGTTGACATATTGCCTACCTGTTGCATATCTTCTGTCGACTGGTGATCGCTAGATGTTTTTGAGCCGCAATGAATGACACCAAACTGGAAAATTTTATCTCATTTATTAAGGTCGACATGTACTAACTGTCCTCACTGGGGATCGGTTTCAGACAAGAAAGACAACACGTCTATATTACTTGACTCCTTGAAACCTTTCTCATATCTCCTTTCCCACGCTAGCTTAGCCAATAAAAATCGACTTCCCATATTATGGCTTGTATCTGACCCCATGGTCAACCTCCAGTAGTCAGAGCAGAGATACACTTCTTCCAAGAATAATAGTCTTCTAAAGTATTATTTAACATACTACTTTCTTTCTAGCACCAATTCTCTATCTTTCTTTCATTGTTTATATTCATACCGTTCATTTTTTTCCTCCTCGTCCTTCTTTGCATCATTTACCCATTTTGCGGTCACCCTATATGAAAGCGAACGCTTGAAAATATCCTTACGTATGGACACGAGATTTAGGCAATCAAAACGTAGTTCTACAGAATGATGTTGAGAATATCATGAACTGAACATGCGACCAACGACTAAGTTCTAGGGAAAATGGAAACAAAAACAACACATGTACTTAGAATCAGAAACAAACAGTTCGAATTCCTGGGACACATAATGAAGAAAGTAGACGTGGATAATTTGACACTCACGAGACATATCGAAGGCAAGGAGAAAGCCGAGCACAATCTATCTCAATCTAAATCTCACAGAGATAAAAGATAGTAAAAAGACAAAACTGGAGAGCTACAAAAGACAGAACAGAGATAAATCACTTATATCCTAAAGTGAAAATATACAAAACTTATTTTCTCTTATTTTTAATTTTTTTCCCTTCCCTCTCTCTCTCATTCTCTTTTCTTATATATTTTCTCTCTCTATTTCTTCTTTCTTTTTATATAATTACTTAATTCTAATTTTTTTCTTTTTCTATAAAGACATTTATTTCTCTTTCATCTTCTATATTTTATTTTTTCAGTTTCTTCCTTTCGTTCATTATCACCTATAATACTTTCCTTCTTTTCATCCTACTTTTTTTCATATCTCATACTATTTTCTTTCTAATCTTTTCTTTATTACATTCTTTATTTCTTTCACTTTCTTCTTCCCCGTTTTATTTTTCCTTCTTTAAATCCTATAATTTCTTCTTTTCAGTTCTTTTTCTTTCTTCGTCTCCTTCAATTTTTTTTTTTTCTTACTTTTTCTTTCCCTTTATTTATCTCACTCTTCTTTCATTCGACTTTTTCCCTTGTCTCCTTCAATTTTTTTTATTCTTCATTCCTTCCAACTATTGGACTCCACCGTAATTATGCCAATACTCTCGCTCCCCACTTTCTTTCTCTCTCGCCTCTCTTCTTCTTATTTCTTTTTCACTTTCTACCCGCCAACATCCATCATTCTACCATTCTTCCTTTTCATCAACATTCATGAAAATTTTGTCGTTAACGCCTTGTTACCCCCACTTCCTTCCCTTTCGGTCGCTTCTACCCTTCCCCGCCTCTCTTACTAGTTCTCTTCCTATGAACAGTCATGAAAATTGGTCGTTAACGCCTCCGGAGAAGCATCATAGCTGGCTTATTCTCAGATAAAAATGAACAGGTTTCTATCGAATTTTATAAATTTATCACTTACATAGAACTAGTGAATCTATGGGCACCACCGTAACTTATCCGATGTTATCAATGGTCATATCGTTTTTGTATTTTGTTATTTATTACTACTGTCACAAACGGTTTAATCCAAAGAAACAAGTCTTTCTTTACTTTTGAAATCTTTCTTGTAAATGTTTACATTTCAGTCCTATTTCTATGCTTTAAAAGAAATACAAATCATTTAGTAGCAGTTTTTTTTTCTTTCTCTGAAAGTCACTGTTTCCTAAATAAGTATAAACTCAGTTTTTCATATTCGGCGTGTTAGACATAATTAAGTGAAAATAAAGAATATCTCCTTTATGTAATACAAGATCGAGTCATTTAATATTATCGAAAAATTAGCCAGATAAGAGTAATGGTACTTTTTTCCTTTTCATATATCAGGGTAAATTGTCACCATTTATATATATTTTACATTTAGCGCATGTGCGTTGTTTTTTGTTTGTTTTTTATTTTGTCGTACAGTATATGAATGATCAGTTGGGCACCATCTGTGAGAAGAGGAGCGCCATGACGCAGTTGACTCCGTCAGAAATCTGGAAAGGGCATGCTCTACTGCTTGGCATTCGCGCCAGAAGCCCCAATACGAACATTTCAGAGTGTTTGGAGTCAACCTGAAGACAGGATTCGGAAATATTTAAATAAATCTAGTGGTTATTACGAAGGTACAGCAGCACGGAAAACTCACACTGATCGTTCTGATAAAAAATGAATTCCCGAATTTGCTGGTGAGGGCCTCAAACTCAACACGTAGGCCTACGTCAAGTGTCTTGAGGCGGTAGTGCTGCCCTGGAACAAGAGGGTAGCTTCTGGAAGACCATATATCTGACATCAAGATTCTGCACCATGCCAAACCAGCAGAAGAACCCAGTCATGGGTGTCAGACAATTTCTGCGACCACATCATCACTTAAACCTGGCCACCTAAATTCACAGACTGTAACCCCCATGATTATGCGCGAGAGAAGTTAAACGAGAGACCAACAAAACTTCATGTAATACCAAAGATGAACTGAAGACAAGGATTATGGCAGCATTTACCAAGAAGAAGACAACCCATAAGGGACGTAAGAGATTCAGGTCTTATTAGTGGTGATGTCATGAATTTTTTATGTGTGAATGGTGGCAACGTCTCTACATTCTGAGGGTACTGACTTGGCAGTTTTCCGGTTGTTAGGAGGCTGAACTCATGCGTAGCGTCTTGTGTGGCTTCTCTGTTCAACAGTCGCATAATACCGGGGTTCTTGCAGTGTCGTGTCACGCATGGAAGGGTGTCCTTGCAAGCGTCTCCAGTGAACAACCCCAAGGCCACATAATGTTGAAGTCTGCGCCAATTCCTTTTATGCACCTGTTACATCAGACGACCGACTGCTATTACTCCCCTAGACCTTTCCTTACCGAAATAACACATCATGACTATAAACAAAGATATAAACCTAAACCAGCTCAACAAAAAACACCTAAACCCTTTAACATTTCTTTCTCTAATATTCGTGGTATTCGTACCAACTTCTGCAGCGTGGAATTGTTCCTCTTTGAAAAGGCTCCGGATACCCTAGCACTCTGTAAAAATAATATTAACTCTTCAATAACCTCCTCTTATTTCTCGATTTTTTTTACCTTCCTCTTCTTAGAAAGGATTGTAATGTGTTAGATGCATGACCTGGGAGTTTATGTCCACAAACATCTCTTGCTGGATAGGGAACTCTTTCTCTTGAATCTCCAGACGATTCTTACATGTGTCTCCGTCTCTCTCTACTTAACGATCGCTTCTTTCTCTACCGTTCCCCTTACTCTCAAGACTGCTACCTGCTAGATATTATTTCCGATAATATAGACAAGGCCATCTCCCTACACCTGTTTGCAAATATATTTGTGTACGGGGACTTTAATGTCCCCCATACCAGGTGGCTTGAACACCTCAAACCCTTAAATTATCAATCACGCTAGAGATACACTTTTCTTCTCGATCTCATTTTTACTTCCTTTTTCTAGCAGAATATCTTTCTGTTATCAATGAGCAGATTGGGATTCATTCCGTTTTCTTTCATGATGTCCCTTGGAATTACGTTCTTAATTATCCTGTTCAAAAATGCGTGTCTGAGGTCTCCTCCTCCTGGGTGAAAGCCGGCATCGATGCATTCATTCTAGCAAGGAAATACAAAGTTAAACAGCGTTCATCTCCTTGGTTCTCACCTGCATGCACGCAAGTTCGGTTATAGAGATTATTGGCGGCTCTGCAAGAGTGTGCTGAACAACAGCAGATCCTCAATCCCTCCTCTATTCAACCAATTCGAAGTCCTGACATCTACAACAGACAAATTTAAATGCATTGCTCGGAAATTCTCTTCCAACTCAACACTCGACTCAACTGGAATACCCACACTTGATTTCCACAAAAGGACAGAGATCGTACTGAGTGAAATGTGCATAAGCTCGACATCATTTCTAAATTAGACTCGCATAGGGCATGCTGAGCTGACGATATCCCAGCCATCCTCCGAAAGAATTTTACCCAGAGATGGATCCAGTCCTCTCCAAACTATACAACTATTGTTTTGTTGCTTCCTGTCTTCCAGCATGTTAGAAGTCCTCCTCTGTAGTTCCTGTCTTTAATAACTCCGGAGAACCTTCCGAACCCACTATCTATCACCCTATTAGTCTCCGGCAAGATATTCGAGGTTTTAATCAACGTTGAAGTGGTTAAGCACCTTACCTGTTACGACCTACTCTCTGACAAACAATATCGTTTTCGTTTTGCCAGGTCTACTGCTGATGTGGTAACGGCCATTATTGAATATATATATCAAGCTCTTGGCAATAACGGTGAAGCCCGAGACGTAGCTCTTGATATCTCGAGGGCGTTTGACAGGTTTTGGCACGCTGGTCTTCTACGTAAGCTCCAGGGCTACGGTATTGCTGGAAGACTCTTTGATTTAGTCCAATCAAATCGTAAATGAAGGTCGCTTTGAACTGACTCGCTTCCTGATCCTTACACACGAACGGGAGTGCCCCCTCCCAGGCTCACTACACGGTTTCTAATCTTCATCAATGATCTTCCTGATGTCATCAATTCTCAAGTAGGCATTTATGCTGATGATACTACCATTTATTCTTGCCTCAATAGAAAATCTGCCAGATCCTAGAAATTTAAACTGGTCACTGCTCTTGAAAAGGACCTACAATCTCTGGTTAACTGGGTCAGGAAATGGCTCGAAAATTTTAATGCCTCCAAAATGAAACAGCTTTCATTCAACCAACATCGAGTATATTTCCTGTCTGCAATCAGCATGGCTGCTGCTAGACTCATGGAAAGTAACACACTGCAGCATCTTGGCCTCACGTTTTCAACTGACTTAAGTTGGAACTACTACATTGAATCAATAGCTGCATCTACTGCAAGGAAGGTTGGGTCACTGTGTCGTGCCAGAAAGTTATTCTCGTCAGAGTTCAGCTTACACATTTATAAGTCTACCATTCGCCCGTACGTTAAGTACTGTTGATATATCTGGTCTGGTGCTGCTGCTACTCATCTCGAGATTCTTGACAAAAATACAAATAAATATCTGCAATGTTATCGATCCTCGACTTCAGTCCCTTTCTCACCGACGTAACGTGGATGATTCCCTATGTATTTGATACAAATATTGTCATGGCAACTGCTCTGACGAGCTAATTTCCCTGATACCCAGTCTATGTGAGTTTAAGTGTGCTACTAGACTAGCATCTAGGTTTCCCCCGTTGCTATTGAATTAGTTAAATGTAACAATCACTTCTACACGAACGGTTTCTTTTCTCGCACTTCCCTTGCTTCCCTGATAACTACAATCTTCAAAAATTTAAATGCAATGTCAGTGGCCATCTTCTATCTTCTTGAAACCCTTTCAGCTTTTATCGTTTCCTCGGTTCCCCATATCCAGTCTTTTCTCCCACTTTCACTGTTTGTAACCGCCTGCGTACCAGTGGCATTCCCACCTTTCTTGGGGTGAAATGTTTAAAAAAATTAAACATTAAATTATTTTCTAACCTTAGATTAGCCTTGTAATAGGAAACACAGCTGAAAAATATCTGCTACATTCGCAAGATTAGATTGATAACCATCGTTTTGTAGCAGGCGTCCAAACTCAAATATATTTATAAAATAATGAACCAGCATCTATTTTAAGAAGCATAACGTGTTTAAAAATTTAACCAAATCTTTTTTCTCTTTCTTTTTTCAAGCTGAGTTGTTTTTCATTCGTTTCTTATTACTATATTAGTCATGAAATTAACGTTACATTTAGCGCATGAAAGGCATTTGTGCCTATAATGGCAATTATCGGGTAAATCTAACTTTTTCTTATTTACTTTGATTTTAACGAGAAAATGATTTCGTGTAATCTGCATGATCACTCAGTATTTAAGACACCCAGCCGTCTTCAGTATTTGACGAAACACAATTTTCTGTCATCTTTAATTTTGTTGAACTACGTAAATATCGATAAAGTACTTTTCTATCTTCCTCGCATAAATTGTAAATTTTTAATCAAGAGTAATACTTCTTAAAAATGGATTATCAAGTAAATAAATAAAAGAATACAGATAGAAAAACGCTCCTGGATTTTAAGACTGGTTTTAAGATCTTAACTAACTTAACTGTGATTTCAGGCTAAATATCCAAATCTCTTTCTGCAAAGCTACTTCTTCTTTTTTCATTCCAACAGCGTCTCAAATGTTTCACTTGTTTTCATCAAGAATTGTAGTTTATATTCACTAAGTTTCATGTGCTTTCAACAAACACAAAAGTCTAATCTGTTAGGATAATCTTTATAAATTGCACTGCCCTAACAAAAAGGTAAATTCCGTCACTGAATGCCTTA